ACCATGGTGGCTGTAATTGGACATGAAAAATGATGTCGTGTTTCCACTTGCAGGGAGGATTGGGGTGGGCGTAGGTGGGGCAAATGGCAAATTGATATGGGAAGATAAATTTGGCATTATTTGAATGAGTTGGTTTTAGGCAAAGGGTATGAAAAGACAAAATGAAGGTTATGAAGTGTAACGAGTAGAGTAATTTTGTCCAAGGTGTGCAAAAACAACAGTAAGGATGGTTTTCGGCAGAGATGAAGGTGCAAAGAATGAAAGGAAAGTAAGCAGCATAGTGCAGCTGAAGTTTTAACTCCCCAGTCAAACTAATTACTTACAGCTTCTGTGGAAGAAAGGCCCACAGCTTTTTCTGCAATAGCATGGATTCACATTTTTGCTGTTACACAGCACCCACAGTTTCTGATACAGGGAGTCTGAGACACAGAGGTTGCATGATGCCACATGAGTAACGTAAATGTGAATAAAACTCTGGTTCTTCACTGCTGTTTGCCACCTCTTTGAAAACTGGGTTTCTTGTGTGTAACCAGAAATTCAAATTACATTTTCTGGCTCTTTTTCCCTCAACATCCCAGCAGTGATGTTGAGTGAGACATTTTCAAATCATTACTGTGGCCAAAGTGGCCTCTGCATCATGAATGGGGCATTCTGGGACCATAAAGTTGGGAATCTTATAAACACTTCAAATAGATAGATGCTCATGTTTCACACAGAGCATGAACATTTTCAGTCATGTCCTACAAGGAAGGAGAAAGGCTACAGATAAACTCATGACAGATTAACAGATACTAAAACAGTATGTTCCTCAACAGGGATAATCTGGAATGAGAATTCACGATCATATTTCAAAGGAGACCACAGAGAACATCTTTGGGCAGAGGAAAGGAGGACCACTGCAGCAAAGAGAAGTGTAACAATTCCTTGGGGATGACCTTCCAGATTTTGTCCAGTCCATTTGTCAGTTAAACACTGGATTAGCCTACCTAGTTCTTTTTCCTTGTAATGCCAAATCTCTCTTAAAGACTTTTTAGTGATAAGAATCACTAAAAGTTCACAGCCAATCTCTAGTTCCTATGATCCCTTGTGGCTGCCCATGACATTAATTGGATTTGCTGATTAGCATTGGTATTAGCACCTTTCTGTTTTTCTTAAATCTGAGGTTTCTTCCTCTTCTTTGCCTGGTTGGGGTTCTTCTGATGAAAATTACAAGTTCCTGCAGGAAGGCTTGTGTAAAATATGTAATTCCTGACTGTATTGGCAGCTACTGGTGGATATATTTCATGACACTGGAGGCATTTAAAGATGTAGAAGATAAGTTTCATTGGTGGACAGTAGTAGCTGCCATGGATTTCCTGAGCCTTAGGGCATCATGACATGTTTTTAAAGCTTCATGTGCTGACTCACTCAAAGGCAACTTTATCAATTCTAGGTTCAAGTTCTCCTCACAATTCCAGGAAGGGGCATCTTCACCAAGGCATGTTGTCCACCTCTAGTGTACTGACCTGAGTTCTTCCCTCATAAGGGAACTGAAAAAAGTAATTTGAGGTCACTGACTTTTCTAGTTCAAGGTAAAGATGATTATACAATCTCATTTACTCCAATATTTCCCTCCTATTGTGAGCCCAGTTGATTGCCATAGGACTGTTCTTCCACCTGACACACTCTCATGGTCCACCAGGACAAGAAGTTAGAGATATCCATAACATTATCCCTGAAAACACTTTTCAGAGGACTGTAATTACGAATAAAAAAATTTGTTTCTTTGCACAATGACAGTTCACAGCTGAAGAATAAGCAGAGAGCTTGAACCTCTGAATTCCTTTCTAAGCATGTGCTTCCCAGACTGGGGAAAGTACATTTTATTTTTCCACTTATTCTTTCCCTGTTCCCCATGCCATCTGCCTGCTCCCACGGTATCTGTGTAAGGAAAGAAAAAAGAAAAGAGGGAGAAGAAAGAAAGTTCCATCTATGGAGGGAGGAAACTTAGTTATTTTCCTCTCAGTGTTTCTCCATATAATGGGTATTTTTCATGTCAAGATGATCTCAATTTGTGTTATGGGCTCTGTGCATACAGCACTTTCTCTTTGGTCTATAAAGAAATTGTCAAGTGTATAAATCAGAGTGCACATTAAATGACACTAGCCTTTTATTTATCAATTTACCTAAATATTTCTTTTTCTCATTTTGCTAAAAACTTGATGTTCTCATCTGACTTTTGTGAACTGACCACATCCAGTTCTTCACAAGTAGGAAGAGTTGTTCCAAAGGCAATCACTTGAATTCAGTGGGGAATTTTGTGGCTGTTAGCACACCTCCTACAAATTCCTACCTTATGTGACCACTTCTCTTTCCAAATGTCTGGAAAGCAAGTTCTCACTGTCTTTGAATGAGCAGCAGGGACCTCATATGTTTAATAGATCTTTAAGTGCCTCCAACAGCTAGGTGCTGAAGTGTAGTTAAAGGAGCGCTATGGCAGGACGTCCATCCTGCTGAAGACAAGTACATTGCTTCTGGCTCTGCTAATATCTTGTGATAGTTGTGTGTGAGGGACAGACCTTTATAGTTGCAGAATCAGGGGCTGATGTAAGGTTTACGCAGTACTTAGTAGTTTTTAGCACTTAAACTGCCTGGATTTTCTAGATGATGCTGGCATATAGAAGAATAGAATTTGCTCATAGTGTCTGAAGCCACTGATCCATCTTTTTCCAAGTGTGATTCTAACTGTAGTCAGTTTATGGCTAAGTACATTTTCCTCTCGAGACAACAATGCAGAAAGATCTGTGAGGCTCTCCATCATCTTAACCTACTTGTCAGCCAGTTTGATGACTTTTTATTACCAAATATGTGTTCAGAGCAATTAGAATAAATCTAAATGATTACGAACTACTTTCAAGAAAAAAAGAAGAAAAAAAAAAAAAAAGAAAAGAAAAGAAAAGAAAAAAGAAAAAAGAAAGAAATGAGGAAAAAAAAAATGAGGGAAGAAAAAGGAAACGGATTTGTTGGCAAGCTGCACTTAGCCACAAAGAAGAGAGGAGCAAAATCACCTCTACTTCATTCTAAGGTAGTAGAAAGACTGGAAGAGAAGCATAGAGATAGAATAATTAGAATAGAATAATAAGATATTTTGCATGTTACATAGTAGTACTGCCTAGATACAGACATCACAACTAAAAAGATTGCAAATCCCTTGTTGTAATGATAGTTGGTAAAAATTAGTGCTTCCAGTGTTTTCCAGAGAAAAGAGAATAATTCAGATCGATGCCTACTTCAAACTGAGAAGAATTAGGAAGAAAAATTGTCATCCCTGCATTTTCAGGCCAAACCCAGACTCCCCCACAAAGTTCCATCAGGACCATTCCTCTTACCCCTACTCTGAGAGAGCACAGAGGTGGCTATGGTTAATGTACTTTGCAGTCAAGGCATAGTACACTTCTGAGCACCTCTGCCCTCTGCCTGGAGGTTAAGACAGCTTTACTGGGCCTGCTGCAACTAACATGGATCCCAGTGGGAGTTTCCATTTTATTTAGCCTCCATTTGCCTCTTTTGTTTTCTTTCTTTCTTTCTTTCTGTTTGTTTGTTTGCATTGTGGTTTGAAAAGGCATCCTGTGACACTTAGCCAATTTTTGGTCTGACTTCATTGGGAAGCAGTGGGTTGGCAAATTCCCATTGCCATGTTAATATGGTATGGAGGAAGAGTCAGGAAAGGGCTTTCAGATGGAAATCTTGGCTGTTTCTGATCCAGTCTGTATCACCAGCTATTAATAGCAGAGGAATATCCTAATCTCTTGCATCAGACATTGAGATAGGCGCTAGCAGTAAGGATGCTTATGAACATCCACTGCCACTTCTCCTGAGAAGCTGTGTAGCTCTAGGTGTAAGGGAACTCCTTTAATGTGGAGTTCTCTTGCACTCAGACTTTTTAAGATAAAAAGGTAAAAGATAATAAGAGAGGCAGTGATGGGAACCAAACCTGGCCAGTCACACTAACCGTGTGCCTGCACCAGTGACCTTCTGTCCCCAGCACTATAAAGGAGGAAGGGGACTCAATCATCTGTGTCTGTGTTTACATGAGCCCTGTGAGCAAGCACGGCTGAAGGCAGCACTTGGCTGGCAGCTGGTGTGACTGAACGTGTAGGTGTCCTGTCTGTGCTGTGCTATCTGTGTGTCTCTCGGAATATGTTCATCCTTGCTATGGACTGGACCTGCACAAGGGAAAGATGCAGCTGTGTTCCCCAGCCTGGGCTGAGACCCCAGCTCCTAGGCACCATGATAGGCCCCAGTGGCCAGGCAGGAGCTGTGCTGGGTCAGAGTGGCTGAGAAGTCTGCTGTGCTCTGCACCTCACTGAACACAGGAGACAGTGCTGGTTGTCAGTGTTTTTCTTACAGGAACAGAGCAACAGGGATAAATTAGAGAACAAAAATCATATTTTCAGCACAATTGCAAGATTTGTATATGCACATATATTCTGATGTAAGAAAGGAAAAGCACATTTGAAAAAGCAAAAGAGGGAAAGGGAGATTTTGACTAACTTACTGTGCCTGTCCTCTGAAGAAAGTCTCAATGGCCAGCACTTCCATGACATGGGCAAACTAGGTCCAAGTACCATTCCCCCATACTGCTGATAATCATAGCCAAACCTCCTGAGCCAATGGTTGAGGTGAAATTTACTTCTGTTCTGACACAGTAGCTTTTTCAGAAGAAACTATTAGAAATTTTAAAAGTTACATTTAAAATTTCACAACCCAAGTGAAAAGAGTCAGTCTCTCTCCTGGTGTGATTCAGCAGAGCGCCTGTCAGGAAAATGGGGTGGCACTGAATTACCTCACACCAAGAAGCTGCCCAGGCAGCCTGTGCTCTGTGGTCACTTCTTTGCTTACTAATAGCTTTTTTTCCCTCCTCAGGGAGCATATTCTTGTGCTTACTATGATGCATGACTCTATATATGAATGCTCAATTCCATTGTTAAATATCTGTCTCTCTTCGTTTTCTCTTACAGATGAATAGACCGATCCAGGTGAAACCAGCGGACAGCGAAAGCCGAGGAGGTAGTTGACTGCATTGCTTTCAGCTACAGTGCTAAGTATAATTGTTGTCTCTGGCTTCTCTCAGGCAATGTGCTGATCAATTAGTAACGTAATCACTGCCAAAGAAATTCCCTCTGCAGCAAAGATTCTCTTTATTAAATCTCCTTTACTTCGTCTCGCTTTCCTCATATTCAATTATTATTTGATTTTAAAAGGCAGGCAGGTGCCAGAGATTGCCTGGGAAACAAATAACTGCCTTGTTAAGAAGTGAAGCATCAGGCACTGACTTAACAAAGTTTAACAGCAATGACGGCAACATAGTTTTTCAGACCTATGTTCTGCTGAGCTGCAGAGGTGTTTAATGTGGTTAGGATAAAGCAGACATTTTACGATTTATCTGACCATGTTGTTTCTCCTTGAACTGAAACAACTCTGGTCATGGACAAGGTAAATTGTTAAGAGTTTTCTACACCTGCATCAGCTTATGTGGATAAACATGTTGTGGAAGCTGAAGGCTTCTCTCAGAAAAAGGGAGTTATTCAGGATTTGTACAGATGTAGTTGGAGTAAGGAGCTGGTCTTTCTCTTTTCCGTCCTGCATAGTGGATTTGGAAGGCTTTGCTAAGTGACCATTCCATTGATCACTGGTGATAAGGTGTTTCCTCTGACAGGTTTTCTTTCTGACAGGTTTTTGTTTCTTTCTGCTTTTTTTCTTACAGGCTTTCTTTCACAACTGATTTTGTGGTACTACAGCATACTTGCTTGGTAGGGGCCTGTTTGTCAGATCAAATACAGAGCTCACTAAGAATGGGTAACATCATCAGTTATGCAGGACTAGTTTGCACTCTATTTTCTTAAATTTGCATATTTATGTATATATAAATATACACACACACACATATATATATATAATGGCATTCATTCTTCTCTATACCTATCTGCTTGGCTGAAAAAAAACAACACAAACTAGAGGCTTTTGTCAATATATGCAGTTAAAGCAGTAGTGCTTAGGTATCATAGAAACATGGGAATAGATTTTGTCATCTAGTGATGATTTGGCCATGCGTTATATGAAAACTCTTTAATTTTCAACATAGACATAAACTTTTCTTCATTTATGTGACTCTATCTTTGTGTTGACATTAGTGGAAATTCCCCAGCACGAGCTACTGAAAAGGAGCAAAATGTCCTGCAGATAAAAGGCCCTGAAATTGTATTCTTTTTCAGTTGAAAGCTTTGGATTCCAGATGCTTTGACTGCATCAGTGTGAGGCTGAAACTCTCCAGTGACTCAAGTCATTGGAAGATTTTGTACACAGCTCATAGTTAGAGGGCTGGTGTCACGGAGTGGTGAAACCAGCAGGTTGGCAGAGGCTCTGTAAGGAAGAGTTGCGGTGCCGTGTAATTACAAAGCAGGGCAAGAACTGAATACTGGAAAAGTGCCCGAAAGTCCAGGGATAAATATGGCACTTCTGGAGTCCCCATAAAGTAAATTCAGGGGAGTTTGCTAGCGGTGTACAGAAAGCGTTCAAAAGGCTCTGCAGTGGCAAGTTCTTCTATCAAGGGACAGAGCACTTTTCTAATCTGCAACAAAGCATGTCACACAAGGCAGCATCTTCTAGTGGTTTTTAACAGAACAGGGTCAATTTTCCCCCTTTTCCTTCCCCTCTGAAGATCTGGCTCCATGTCTTAGTAGGTGTGGGTAAGCTATGGGCAGTTGTCAGTGTGGATCTCCTATGGGGAAAGGGAAAGGCTCAGCTGCTTGGGCAAATGAGGGGACATTATGCACATTCCACTGGAGCTCGTGCCGACAGCGGGAGTGAAGGGAGAGCCTTTTGTCTATTTAATTAGACATACCAAAAAATAATAATTAGGCTGGCCAATTTGCTCAGTGTGCCTACAGGGTATGTAGCTCCCAATCACTTTTTTTTTTTTTTTTTTTTTAAATGCAAATCACTAATAGAGAACACATGCCTGGTTTTCTGGGGAAGATTTTCAAACTCTTGCTAAGAGCAGCTGCTTTCAGGAGGAGAGGATTGAACCGCAAAGGGCTCGGGTGGCAGTTTGATTCCACATTATCTGTCACACCAGTAGTTCCCTCTCCATTGTATTTTACCTAATTATCTCCCCTACACATACAAGCCTCATCTCTTTCTACCCACTCCGCTTCCGTATTTCTCCTGTCGGTGGTGATGATAATGTAGGGCCAAATGTGTGTGCTCATCATTGGTGTGAAAGACACGCTGTCCTAATTTCCCACTGTCAGGCTGCTTGTGGGCTGGTGATGTTTCAGAACGGCATGACTCAAGGGCAACTATGGGAGAAAAGAACAATTGGCACCCAAGGGAGGCATTGTATGAAAACTTACGTTCTCTGTGAGCCCACCAGTTAAAGGAGGCAAGGCAAACAGAATGCTAAAAAGGAGGCTGTGTATCTTAGGAGCACATCAAAAGACTTCATTAGGGCTGCAAGATAAAGGTCAACTTCAACAACAAAGTTGTTAAGTTGTAGCTTATTATACCCAACTCATGTATCAGGATGGGACATGAGGAAAGGGGAAAGGCTTGGAAGATTAAACATCTCTTCTGTACTGCACAGTCTGCTCAAAGCCCATGCTCTAAATACATCCCTGTCTTCTGACACATAGGGAATTTTGGTGCCAAGTCAAGGTAGTAAAGAGAGGATGTGATGCTGTTTGAATCTATAGTTCAGAAAGAGGCTGTAACTGGAAATGGTGAACGGTGTTCTTGAGGCAATGAGACTGTGTTTTACACAAGGATAAATACCCAGATTTTGTTGAAGCATGGGCCCTTGACTTTCCCAGTAAGATCTCCCAAAACCCAAAGCTGGTAGGAGTCTGGAATTTACTCCAACGACAGCAACAAAAGCAGAATGTGCTAGATAATTTTTTCCCTTGTTATACAGCCTGTAATTCATTGGTCTTCAATCCCTTCTGTGTCTTGATTCTCAGTTGAAACAAAAGTGGGTTTGTTGGCATTTGGAGCATGTGAGTATGAATTTAGACTATCAGACCATCTAGATTTAGGGAGGAATGCAAAATATTGCTTTGCACAAATTTCACTCATCCCAGCAAAATGGAAATTCTGACTGCCCCTTATTAGTTGTGCTTTTTTTATTATTTTGTCTGTTAATCCCCACATTGGACTAGGAGCAAGACAAAGAATGCAATTCTTTTCAGTAAAAACTGGCATTATTTACATTTGCCTAATCTCACAGGACTTAGAAATGAATGTATTTTCAATACATTTCTCTTGGGAAACAGTCTAAATTAATGGGAAAATTGTGCATCTTGCATTCCTGCCTATTTGTGTGTGCAAATGCTCAAGCTGCAGAATGTTACATGGGAGTATTTCTTCTATCAGATGCTTCATGTGACTCCAAATATCTCATAGGAAGGTCAGAATCCTCCAACATTTTATAAAGACCTCAGCAGTGATCAGATTGATAGAACGTGACAAAAAGGCAAAAATTCTGTATTTCTTTCAGAAAAAAATCAGAGTATAATTAGCTACATCAAGGATATCTTAAAATCTTTGTCTGACATTTGTGCTGCCCAAATTTTGCTTTGATTCCACAGAAGTTATTTTGCCATGTGTTATGTTGTCTGATACGTTTTAGGCATGTAAACTACAACTTGATGTTATATTCTGAGTAAGACAAATCCCAATTAAACAGAAAGAATTTTCTATTACTTTCATCCTGTTGATGACTTGACTTTAGTTCTTTGTCTTCTATTCAGCTCTAAAATTAGTTTTGTAGATATCAATGAATTAAAGTTTTGCAAACTTAGGGAAAGATTTCAAGTCTGTTTTGTGGTTAGAGGCGAAAGTTTGGAGCCATTTCTTATTTTGTTCACGGTATCTCTAGCCCTCACTAGACAGCTCCTGCTGCAGCTGGCAGGGTTAACCTGTGATAAACACAGCCCTGAGGTCCCACTAGCGTGTTCTGGGAGTAACATTTTTTAAAAGGAAAGGACTCTCCTGCTTCTCTAGTTACACTCTATTAGTGATGCTTAGATGCGCCATTGCCTCCACATTCCTCTCAAAGGACAGGGGAAGGTCCATAAAGGAAGGCATGCAAAGACACACACAGTGTGCTACCCAGGTTCAGTGTTAACGTCTCTACCCAGAAACACTTCACAGTGGTTTCTGGTCCTGTATTTTGTGAAGAAATTATAGAAGGTTCCTGTACTAAAGAAAATTAAAAAAAAAAAAAAAAAGTCAAAGTCTGAAGTTGTTTAGTTGAAAGGTAGCAGCATCCTGCAGAGAGGGAGTAGAGGGATTTATAGGAGACCCTGCAGTTTGACACATTGCAGTGCTTTCTGCATGCAAGACTTCACAAATCTACAAAAGCCTTTGTGTCTGTTTGTGCTTGCAAGAAAATTTGTTTGTGTATGTTTTGCAGAAGGTGTGTGCAGTGTCTTTTTTGTCTGCTGTTTAGGGAACGTGATAGCAGCTGCTGGAAGATTTGGACTGTCATATTTCAAGTGACTTGCATCATTTCTCAAGCTGTTATTCAGTATGCAGGCTCTGAAATTATCTGTTTGGTTATGGTTTATTCCAGCTTCAGAACAAAATGTCCAAGCACTCACAATATGCAGCAATACTGTGGTGCTTTGCTCATGCACCATAATCTGTTTCTTTTTATTCCCGTCCATCAGCACAGCAATTATGATGGGGCCAGAATGACCTCTCTGCAATTTATAAGGCCTATTGTCTTTGGGGACAAAAGTCTGGATCTATTTCTTATTTCATCTGTGGCATTTCTAACTCTCACTAGCCCTCTGCTGCAGCTGGCAGGGCTTGTCTGTGATGAACGTAGCCTCAGATTCCACTCACTATCTGCTATTTAGCTATTTTTCATTTAAATATTCAGAATTCTATGGCTCATGCTGTTGGCCAAAATGTCTCAGAAATCTTCCTGTCCAGATGCAGGCTGGGTTAACTGCTACAATCAAATGACTTCAGGTTGGATTGGCTTTACTCTGCTATAACAAAACCAT